TTTTTTTTTTGGTTATTTCTCCTTAAACACTTTGGTGATTTAGATATGATTGTTTTTTATATGTAAATAATGGAAATCCGGATTAAGTCCACTCCCACAAAGAGCTGACCAATTTTGAACATGGTGGGGTCCACTTGGAAAGGATAAAAGGGAATAGATGGGAAGCATCTATAAGAGCATCTCCATTGGTAAGCATGTAAATAATGGAAATCTCAGGTATTTTGCGACTTACAGGACCTTTTCTAAAAGTTGGTTAGTTAAAGGACTAAACCTCAAATCGACGCCACTTAAAGGACTAAATCTCTAATTTTTTCGTCTCTCATCCACGTGAAAAAAATAGATGTTCAAACAAATAAAAAGTCTCAAATAGTTTTTTTATTCAACTTAGAAAATATGACTAGTCTAAGATGACTTCTACATGTCGAAGGAGTTTTGAATTTTATTCCTTCTCTCTCTTACCATGCCATTATGGATAGAATCTAGACATTCATAGTTGGAAACATTTTTTTAGTGAACTTCTTCCACATTTCTACAATCAACAACCTATTGAAGCTGCTCTAAATGGTCTAAGAATTGTCTTTTTCTATTTTCATGTGACATATTAAATCTTATGTGGTATTCAAAATATTTATAAATATTTCTAGATATATTAGTACTTCTAAGCATCATCTATTATATAGAACATCTTTGATATATGTAAATTAAATATATGTTAATTTAAAATATAATATAAGATGAATATTATTATATTACTAATTTGCTATTCAATATATGTCAAGGTAAGAGTTTTTTAGACAGTTCATAAAATATAATACAAGATGAATATTATTGTATTATTAATTTGTCATTAAATATATGTCAAAGTAAGGATTTTTTAGACAGCTCATATTATTACAAAATCACTCGTCCTTTTATAATAGTATATATATAGCATAGTATAGATAAAGATAGATAACTATACATAAAAATCACGAAAATTATATTATACCTTAAAGTATTAATAATATTGTATTTTGTATATATTATAGACATACATAAAATAATATTACACATAAATATATAGACATACTGACATTTTTAAAATAAAAATGTACTTTAAAAATCAAAAGAAAATGATAATAAATAATTTGATTGGGACAAACTAGGTTGACCCAACTGGTCAATCTGGATTAGGGCTACAAACGAGTCGAGCGGCTCGCAAGCCGCTCGCGAGCGCTCGAGTCGAGTTCGAGTTTGACCGAACTCGAGTCGAGCTCGATTCCATTATTTGCATTGTCGAATGGCTCGTCGTGCGACTCGATATATATTAAATTACTAAAATACTCCTTATACATATATTTAAATAATATAACAAAGTGTTCAATGATAATTTCACTTAAAAATTTTCGAGCCGAACTCGATCCGAGCTCGAGCTATTGTATTTCGTATCGAGTCGAGCTCGAGCAGCTAAAAAAAATTCAATCTTGCTCGATAAGGTCAATCCTCGACTTGGCTCGGCTCATTTAAGAGCATCTCCAATGGTACAATTTAGTTGTTAGAAATTACAATTTATATTGACTAATTTAACATTGTCTCCACTTTTAATTGTACAATGCAGGCAAATATAGTGATGAGATGTACATAATTAATGTCCACAATGTAGAAAAGAATGTGGTTCATCCACATTCTCTTTCACATTCCAATCAACCAATTGAGAGATGAGAGAAAAATATTATTACCATTTTGAAAATATCTAAATTATTTAATTGTTTTCGTTTCTTATTTATAAACGTTTTTTTTTTTTTTTTTTTTTACCAAATGGACAATATTATGTTTGATCACATTGGGCATTATAAATAATTTTTTAGATTTAAAGTTTTGAACTTAATAAATATCTTATGTGGTTCTATCTAAATAATTGACATTTATCAAAATTTATTTGATAACAACATTTATGCATTGGAGATGCTCTAAAATCTTAATCTGGATCATGTTTTAACCGAATTTGACTAGGTTGCTTGTTGACCGGTACCATCCGGGGCCTATATGTGGGTTGACCTACCAAACAATTACTCAATATTTTATCATTTCATGATTCATCTCTTTTCTACTTTTCCCATTTACAAAAAAAAAAAAAAAAAAAAAAAAAAAAAAAAAAAAAAAAAAAAAAAAAGGAAAAAAATAATGTTGTACAATATACATGTCTTGATAAATTCTTCCACATCAATATAGTCCAATTACCCATAGAGGGTTAAAAATAAAGAAAATATAAACAATTTATCCAATTAAAAATAAAAAAATTGTTAGTCAAGGATAAATGTAAAGCCCACCTAAAACTTCATGAGAGCTTGCTTCAGAATTCCTCCTCTCATCGTCTCTAATTTCCTCCTCCTCCCCCTTTCTGCTACTTCCACGGCCGTTGCTACTGCCACTTCCACTTTGCTGCAACTCTAACGGCGGCTCCGGCAACCCGCCGGTGTGTGCTTGGCTCACCTGATTTTCAGGCATCAATTGAGACATCTTCTTTAGTTCCTTCCCTTTTCCCCACAATACTGTGTAAAGCCCCACAATTATCACAATACCTCCTAACACCCTGCCATCATTTTAGACAACAATAATTATTCATAATTATCAATCGTTATGAAGGATAAATAAAAAGGAATACGGAATCATTCCGTCGGGTTTGTAACCATTAGATCAACTATCTCTGACGGTTATATGACGATCTAACGGTTACAAACCCTGACGAAATGGTTCTATGGGACCGTAACATTTCCCTTATGTATAGTACATACATTCCCAAGTGGAGCTTCTCCTCCAGAAGCAAAGATCCTGCAATGGCTACCAACACAAGGAGCAGAGGGTTAAATATCGAGACAAACAGCGGCCCTCTCATCCTCACGCACCACGCCACAAATGTAAACATCACTCCCGAACCCAATACGCCCTGCGAGAAGTAAATAAACCATGTTATTCATTAAGAATATATCAAGGTTCTTGTGATTAAGTTAGGAACCTACAGCAAAAGCCACTGTGAGAAGCCTGATATTCCAACCCAAAGCCCAATTGCTCCAATCCTTCTCGGTGCACGCCGCGAATCCCATGCTCTGTATCGTGCCCCATATGGTCATCATAGCCGTTATGGAGTACGGGCATGGATATTTCTCAGAGGCCTTAGCCTGCTCACCATGAAAAGAACAAAATTTCACGTTGGAGTAAGTGTTTTTCCTTTCTTTGTTTATCTCAACTTCTTTTTGGGCTAAGGTACCTGGACGATCAACCATAACGAGTAACATACACAACTGGCCAAGGCCAAAACGGCACCTAGGGCAAGATTGTGGCCACCCGGTTGGCTCGGTGTTTGGCCGCCTGCTTGGCGACGATGAGTCGTGGTAGTTTCTAGAAGGTTTATGTGGGTGTCCCAAAGGTTTAACTCGGGCCCTTTGTAGAATGTGAGGAGCATTGCTCCACCTATGCCCATTATCGTGCCAACAACTTTGGCTTTACCTGCGGATGTGCTCCAGCCCAGTCTTTCTAATCTGGAAAAAATAAAAGAAATAAAAAAAGATAGAACATTGGGAGATGCTACAGTCCCGTTACAGAACTATTCTGTCAGAGTTTGTAACCACCATTAGATCATCATGTAACCGTCGATGATAATTGATCGAACGGTTACAAACCCCGACAGAATGGTCGCTGTAACGGGACCGTAGCATTTTAACATTTATGTATGTGTAATGTGAAAAATAGTTAAGATTATTTTGATGAATTGTGGCCTTTGATTACCTCAATGAAATGGCTACCAAGAATGTGATGGCTGGAATAAGATTGGTCATGGCAGAGGCAAAAGTTGCAGAGGTCATTGCAAGGCTTTTCAAATATAGATTTTGCCCAAGTGATCCCCTGAAAATTAGTCCACCAACAAAATTTATTGTCATGACTTTTTTTTTTTTTGGTACATGGACCTTCCGGTTTCCAGATCTACAGGGGAACCGACTAATTCGGAATCGAGTCGGGTAGGACCACAAAGGCGGCAAAGCTCTTGAATTGATTATAGTAGTCATGAAATTCATTTATTTGCAAAATTAAAAAAAATAAAAAAAAAATCATTTTTTCTTTTATTCAGTCAAAATTTATTTCATTGGAACATAAAAAGAAAAAAAAAAATACAGAAAATACCATTCATCATATCTCACTTTTTTCCTCTATAATTCCCACCAACAAAATTAAAAATTAAAAGCTATATATATTTTCCTGCAAACACACTATTCATCCGCTCATGTAATAACTACTAATTCTATCATAAATGTTTTAATATTCTTTTATTGATGTTTTATTATTTTATTATATATTAAATTTTTCCAACAAAAAACATTATTAATATTTTATTATTTTCACGTCACATTAACTTTAATTTTAATCAGCATTACTCCTTTAGTTCACAATTTTCTCAACATAGTTTAAAATATTACCACTCACCAAGTGAGCTCAAGTAAATTTCACAAAGTACAAATGAAAATGAGGAAAATACTACGGTCTTGTTACGAAATCATTCCGTCTGAATTTGTAATCGTTAAATCATCTTGTAATCGCCGGGAATAGATTGTCTAACGATTACAAACCCTATTAGGAATAAATTATCTAACGGTTACAAACCGCGTTCTTTTTCTCAATCCAGAAATAGATACTCACATCCTTTGAGTTTGCTAAATGTATCACATTCTTTTATGAAACAAAAAGAAGCTAAACGGAACACTTAATTGTCGGTCACTGATTGCAACGGGTAACAACAAAAAAGCTTAAAATTTTCAACTGTATTTCACAAGCTTACCCGAATAAACCACAAAGAAATCCGTAGAAGACTATTTTCCACGTCAACTTTGGTCTCTTTTTCCTGAAATATCAAAATATGAAAAACATTTTCAGACCTGCACGCAAAATAAAATTATAATAGTGACTCCTCGAAATAATATGTTTATCAATTAATATATTTATTCTATGTTAAAATATGTATTTACAATAAGATAAAATTGCATTTTTAGTCCTACTGGTTTAATGCCGCAGCATTTTTAGTCCCAAGATTTTAACTTTTTTTTTTCTTTTGGTCTTGCAATATAGTATTTTGCTGCAATTTCAGTCCCAAATGATTGAAATTGCAACAAAATATAAAATTACAGGACTTAAAATTAGTATTCAAAAAATTATCCAAAATATTTTTTATTAGCAATTTAAGTCCTGTAGTTTTAGATTTTGTTGCATTTCAGTCCCAAAGGACTGAAACTGCGTCGAATTTTAAAATCACAGGACCAAATAGCAAAATGTTTAATTCTTAGGACTAAAAACGCTACTGGATCAAACCAACAGGACTAAAATTGCAATTTTACCACAAAATAATCATAGGAAAGGACCTCTCAAGAAAAATTGCAAGGGGAACGATAAAAGCAGCGCCAAACAAAAATCTGTATCCCACCAGGACGGCGAGGCGCATGCCGTCGTTGGCCGACAGCTTGTAGCCGATGTTGACCACCGCGAATATTGTCTGAACGCAGATCATTAACAGCGTTGGCTTCAGCCCGTGAAGATGGTGGCGTATATTTTCCAGTGAACCCATTAATGTTTTTTATTTCCAACTTAAAAATCAAATTTAATATATGAAATTGAGCCCACGGCAAAAGAGGAGAACGTTTAAGAGAGAGAGAGAGAGAGAGAGAGAGAGAGAGAGAGAGAGAGAGAGAGAGAGAGAGAGAGAGAGAGAGAGGGAGGGAGGGTCAATATTCAAGAACAAGCAAGAATCTGTCTTATCCGAAATTCTTGCATGCAGTTTGTTCTATGCATGTATAATAAATAGTGTAAAATAAAATGTTTCTTCTGGAATAAAATGTGGGGGGAGAGAGAGCTTAATGAATTAAGGAAAATTTAATTTTAATCCGTTTACTTGTCTGAAGTTCTTTTTTGATACTTTAATTTTCTCCTCATCAATAATAGTACGTTATGTTGCAGTTTGTATCACTATTGGAACATTATCGCGAAAATAGTTCATTATTTTTGGGATTAATGTCCTAAAAATTATACAAATTGCAACATAACGTGTTGTTTTTGACGAGTAATGTTCTAAAAATAATACAAATTGCAACCTAACGTACTGTTTTTGACAGTAATACCCCAAAAATGATACAAACTATAACATAACGTACTATTATTGATGAAAGAAAAGTTAGTATACCAAAAAATGAATTTAGACAAGTACACGGACCAAAATTGAATTTTTTCCCAATTGTATAAAAGTTTCTACTGTTTGAGAGTAGTATATGAGAATGTCCACTTTAAATAAAGTGGAAGTTATAATTTAAAACACTAAAACAATAAAATGTTAAAATTTCGAGCTAAAATAAAAAAAAAGTGTCCATCTTATAATGAAAACATCTCTTATGAATATGGGTGTGTATGGAATATTCAACCCCATGTCTTACACTAATTTTTCACTATTAATTAAATGAATATGTATGATCTAATGATAAAAATATCGGTATGAACATATAGAACCTTTTTTTTTTTTTTTTGGGTATATGATGATAGAAATGTTGACATACTTTCTTATGTAATCTACTTTTGTACTAAATGGTGTTAAGTTAAATTGAAAATACACTATATTTTTCCTACAAAAGTTATATATTACTAAAAGAAAAAAATTTCTATCCACAATTTTTTTTTTTTTTTATTTCAAAAAGTTATTTATTACTAAAAGAAAAAATTTCTTTCCACAATTTTTTTAATTTTCTTTTTATTTCATTTTAAGATTTTTCTGTATTTAACATTAATATTTTTTTTTTTTTTTGCCTTTTCATTTTCATTTTTTTCCCTTTTTTATTATGTATGGATATTTTAAAATGAACTTGTTTATTTCTACTTTATTTTCGTATATGATATATCAAATAAATTAATTATCAATTAACTTTATATTTAAAGATATTATGTTCACTAAAATACTATTCATTTGTAATTTATATTTTAAATACTTATCGTAAACAATCTTAAATATCTAACCTTAGTGATGATATTAATCCACATGAGCTACATTTATAAAAAAAAAAAAAATATGTTTTTAGTTTGAAAAGAAATTAAAATTTGAAAATATATAATAGAAACAATATTTTAATGGATAATCCACATAAGTTGGACCTCATTGTAACACAACACCACAAAATCAGGCAGTGTAATTGAATTTTCTTTGGGTGCATGTTCCATAAGTGAAAATGAGTTCTAATTTGGTGTATTTATTGGGACAATGGGGAGCTCAACTAGGTACTAAAGTTAGGTAATTTGGTAAGTTTAGGTATACTAAGTTTTGGGTTAACACGGAAGTAAAATTAAAAGTCATTATTGCACTACCTTCCCTAATCCTAGTACATAGCCCACATGGTGCACAATTTTAAGGTTATTTATCCAACCTTATAATTATATAAATTAATTAAAAAAAGTATACGGGATATATATAGTACGGGACCTGTGCGAGACACGGGATATATTTATTTGAGGAATATTATATTATAAGATGCAATATTCAATAAAAGTTTTATAATACGCAGGAAAATTATACAATAAAATAATATTCGACAAAGACACAATCATATATTATTAAAGACCTCATTGTACATAGATATTATATAATTTATTAGTAAAATAGTGTATAAATTGATTACAATAACAAAACAACATGCTCACGGGATTAGTAAAAATACTCCATGGATTGAAGATTTAATGGGATTAAACATTTAAATTAATTAATTTAGATAATTCAAAATTAGATAATTCAATTGTTTTGACTTTAATATATTACAACATGGGTATACTTTAAATATATTAATATTTAAGGAACTTAAACAACATAGTTTTTAAAAATTTGTTTTAGGGAACTTTAAACAACATATTTACGTCACCCATAAAACAAATTATATTTCAACAGCATAGTAATAGTATTATTTAAAGACTTGAAACAGTATTGTTAAGTATTTACGTCCGCCCATAATTTTTTTGTAAGTCGAAGGTAATTAATCCCATGCCTTTTTTTTGTTTGTTCAATTTTTTTGACAAAACTGATGTCATGGATAAAAAAATTAAAAATTAAATAAATTAATTAAATAATATTAAATAATATGCTTTAGACAGATATAGAATGCGGATAATCCTCTCATGCCAAAGAACGCGATTTCAAAATTGACTCAGATCCAACAATCCTATCCAATATTTCATTAAAATAAATATTAAATAAAATGTTTTAAACAGAAATTAGATAAAGAATTTTGAATCTGCCTTTTTTTAGTATAGATAGACTTTACGTACAATTTTTTACTTTCACCGATTTTATGGGATTTGTTTTGATCAAATCAATGTTATTATGGAAGAAGACAAATAAATAAAGTCTTTTTTATTTTAGTAAAAATTTTACGTACTTTTTTTTTACTTGTCGGATGTTATGGGATTTTTTTTCTTAAACCGATTTTATGGGATACAAGACACTTAAATAAAATTCTAGATAGAAATAACAGTGCATTAATTACGTTGAATTTTCAACCTACTAAATTTGGTAGATAGAATACCTTATTATATAAGTATAGATTAAATATTCGTTAACTAATTAAATTACTGAAAATTTAATTAGTTAACAATTTTTATTCTGAAACTAGTACCACTCAACTTTATTATGTTGCCGCATAAAATCCATCTGCAGGGTTTACATAATAATCCTTGTGAAGTCATTTTGAGGACATCACCAATCTGATGAATCATGACACATATGTATAATCAACAACACACCATATATATAAGGAATGAGATAACTAGAACATGGAAATAAAATGCAACTAAACAAGAGAAGATTGAACATCCCAATGAAGTCGCCTACACGACTTTCATCCACATCAGACTTCCCTATCAAACCTAAAATATCATTTCTATTCAAAAGCTTACGGTCTAGCCGACCCCAATCTTCAAACAAAGCTTTCGACTCCCACCCAAGATCTGAATATACACTTAGCCCGCTCCGTCTCAATCCCATGGTTATGCAAAATTCAGCATGATCAAAGTTAGACTCCACCAACATATGCATTCTTGTGTGTCTTATATGTAATTGTTTGTGTCTGAAATAACAACAATAATCTTGTCCATGACATCTTTGAAATATAAAGGCACATATCTCGATCTAAGTTCATTTCCCTATTACAAAAATATAAAGCAAAACAAATTTTTAAACATACATAAGCTGCCAATGATTAACACAAACCACCCTAGCGGAATTAACAAAAACAACGGACTAAACAAAAGGAAAGACTGAACAATTTATACAAAACCAACTACCCAAAGAACAGATCAAAACAAAGCCTATACGAACAACAAGATACAAGAACACAACAAAATAAACACAACACAATTTTTTCCAACAAAAACTGTAGCAACCACTTCTTACAACCACTTCAGATAAACCACAACGCATCATCAATGATGTGTCACTGAGTTCCCAAACTGAACTCCTAGTACTCGTTAAATTTTTCAACAGACAACACCCAATCTTATCTCTTAAGTCCATTTCTTTCAAGAACTCATATATTTTTAAAATGATTAAATTTCTCCATATCTATAATGATGGAATTCATAGAGCCTTGATTCATAAAGAGCCCTAATTCACAAAGATTTCCAAATCTAAAATAATGATGAACCTCAGATCATGCAAAGAGCCATAATTTATCCATAAAATTCGTAATTGGTGAAAAATAAATCAAATTTGAAGTTCATTACTACCAAATAGATAATCAAATCTCAAATTCTCAAAATTTTTGAATTCTAGAACAAAATCAATTGTAAAAAAAAAAAAAAAAACCTTAAAATTCTAACCGAAAATGCTTACCTTACTTTTTGTCGTCGAGGTAGAGGAAAATGGTTTTTTTGAATGGGTATTATTATGTTTTTGAGCCCTTGGATATTATATCCACAAAGGTCCGCTCTCGCCCATTCCACACGCTGCCTACCCGATGGGTTCGTAAGAAGCAGTCTTTCTTTTGGCTAAATGAAGGTGGATTTCTTGGCTATTTGTTACATGACGGGCAGACGAAGTCGAGGAGTTTGGTCAGAGACGATGGCCGACAATGGAGATGGCGGAAAGCTTCATAGATGTGGCTGGCCTAGCTTCACGAAGATGACTTTATTTTTTGAGACGATGGTCGGCGACGCAGATGCACGTGAATTTGTGGGGTGGGCGAGTTTTTTGGACGATCTCAGTTCTCTGTTTTTTTTTTTTCAAGATTTTATGATTTTCAAATAAAATAAATGATAATATTAATGTAATATTGATATATATATAGTGGTAGCTTGAAGTAAAGAGAATTTATGTATAGAGTGTACAATAGAAAAAAAAGTGAGAGACTAATTGACAAATTGATATTGTGATTATAGATTTATCTCTAATTATCATTTGACCAGTGTGTTGCTAGTGCGATGCTCAGGTAAACAATATTAATAATAATTATAAATAGCTCTCGAGTTTGAGTCACCCAGTGAAATAAGTGGAGAACCACAATTGATCAACTTTAGAAAAGCAAGAAAACCAAAATATTATAAATTAAAGATGGGGTAAAAAAATATTAAATAATAATTATAAATTAAAAATGTAGGGTTAACATCTGATATAATTTATCGTATTTCAGTCATTTATAAACAATATAAAATTAGCTTGTACAAGAGAACATAAAACTTGTATGTTTACGATATTAAAAACACTTAATATATTATATTAACATATGTAAAAGTACATGAAAATTTTAAATTATTATTATTAAAAGATGTGACGTCACCTACAACTTTTCTAAACTATTTTGAAAAAGAAACATGTCTAAAACATTTAAATTTCACATATGTATAAAAGACATTTTCTAAACTTTTTGTACATGAAACATGCCGAAAAATAATTAAATTTAATATGTATGTATATGTGTACATGCATATGTATGTATATATATATATATATATATATATATATATATATATATATATATATATATATATATATATATATAGAATATGACATGATAAAAGATTATATAAAAGTATCTAAAATATTATAAACATAAATACAGACATCATAAATTTTTTTAGAGAAAATTGACCTAGTGTATATATATAATAGATATTGACATGACACCGAGAATTATGACGGTACATCCGATCCGTACCTAAATTTGAGTACAGAATATTTCAAAATTATTATTATTATTTTTTAAGTAATTTGAGTACAAAAGATTTTAAAATTATTATTATTATTGTAAGCATCCAATTCCACGTTTTTATTCAGATTTATCAATTTTACAAATAAAAATGGGACTTATTTTATATCTAATTGTTACTAAAAAGCTTTGTACGCATGCAGTTTCACATTTGTCAATTTTAAAAATATAAATCGAGATTAATGCAGACTATAACAAATAAAATGGGATTCTATATCTAACTAAGATCAAGACAAAAATTGGAGATAATATTTAATTTCGTATTTAATTCTCTCCACACACACACACACACACATATATATATTACATCACATATATAAAAAGTAGAGAAAATAATTTTATGCAACCTGTACTATGCGCGAATTTGGATTTTGCAACCTAAAGAATATTTTGTACTATATTACAACCTTTAATACACGGCTTAGCCTATATCGCAACCTCCGATCGTTTTCCGCTCGTTTTCCACCGGAAAAGCGAGCGTGCGAGTCGCACGCTCCATATTTGAGGGTAAAATTGGCATTTTAGATGAGCGACCATCGGACTCCCCCAAATATCACACAAATTGGGAATTCAAATCACAAATTCGATTTTTAGGGTTATATCTCTCTCTCTGCGAAAAACAAAAAGAACGTTCTTCTCTCTCTGCAAATTTTCGGGCAAAAACTTCGCAAATTCAAATTGATTGCAGTGTTGTGATGGTCTGGAAAAAGCGAATCAGTGATGAGAACATACCGCCAGGAAGACTCTGCCCAGATTACGGTTTGTACTTTTGCAACCCTAATTCTTAATTTTTTTGTTTTTATGTTGATTTTGGCCCAAATTTTGAAACAGTGAACATGTTTAGTGATTATGTGGTCCCGTTTTCAATGTGGCGACAACTCTTTTGAAAGTGGTGACAATCAATTGATTATTCAAATATGAACATGTGAATGTTGTCTGAAATGTGGTCCCTTTTTTGAAATTGATAAATTTGTTTACTTTTTTATTGAATTTTTTATTTAATTTTCATCTGAAGGGACCAGGATATTGATTTGTGTAATCTTATTGTCCCCTTCAGGTCCAAGTTCACAACTTTTTACCATTTCAATTCATTATGGTGGACGATTTGTGGAACTTGGTGAGACATGCTACACTGGTGAGCACATGAGGGTAAGTCACATTGACTACTGCGACCCTGATGAGCTCTCACTGATTGAAATTTTTTGTATGGCTTCTGAAGTTAGGGCAGAAAGTGTTAGGTGTGTGCATTGCAGTAAAAATGGTGTTAATGATTGTCGGTCTTTGTTTGTATTGCAAAATGATTTGGATGCCATAAATCTTGTTAATTGGATTGATGATAATAGAATGGTTGGTTTATATGTTGAACATATGGAAGACTACATGGCTAGTCTACCTTCTGATTGCTTGCCTTCTGTTGATGAACCATTGGATTTTGTAGGGGATGATGGGGAGAATCTAGATGAGTTAATTGATAATTGGACTTAGGAACAAAATGATGATGATAATTTGGGTGATGATAATTTGGGTTATTCTGACAGTGAGTTTGAAATCCAATCTTTTGGATCAGACTCTGATTTTTCTGATGAGTTTGTTGAAAGTGATTGTGATTTGTATGATGAAGATTATAAGATGTTTGAGGGTAATATAGATGCAGATATTGAATGGGAAGGGATAAATAGAGAGGAACCTGATAGGGCTGAATTTGCAACTAGCAAGGGTAAGCAGAGAATTAGAGTGCCCATCCAATTTTTGATCATCAAAAAGACATGCAAAATCCACAGTTTAAATTGGGCATGAAATTTTCTGATCTGACCATGTTTAGAAAGCCAGTTAGGAATTTTGCAATTGCACAAGGTAGAGAAGTGTCTTTTACATAAAACTTGAGCTATAAGGTGCAAGCAAGATGCAAAAACAAGTCATCCTTGGCTCATTTATGCATCCAAAGTTCAGAATGAAGACACTGTGCAGGTTAAGACATTCAATGGTAAGCATAAGTGTCCTAGAAAGCAAAAGGTGAGTCATGCTACTCCAAAATGGATAGCTGAAACTTACAAAAATAAGATTTTAGATAATCCTAAATGGCCAGTAGAGGCAATGATGGCAGAGATGCAAAGGGAAGTAGGGATTGTTTTCAATAGATGACAAATGTATCAGACTAAAAAATATGTGTCTCAGATTGGTGTGGGGTCTAATTGTGAGCAATATGCTATGCTTTGGTCTTATGCTGAAGAGATTAAAAAGAACAACCCTAGGACCACTGTGCAAATTAAAAGCAAACTTGTAAATGGAGAGCCACCGTTTAAAAGAATTTTTATTTGTTGGGGATCTTTGAAAAGAGGTTTGCTGAAGGGTTGTAGGAAGGTTATATGCTTAGATGGTTGCCATTTGAAAACCACTTGTGGTGGTGTTCTATTAACTGCAGTTGGGGTTGATGGGAACAACTGTATGTATCATTTTTCATATGTTGTTGTTGGAAAGGAAACAAAAAAAAAAACTTGGCATTGGTTTGTTGAACTGTTGAAAGCAGATTTGGGGATTGAGAATTCATTTCTTTGGACAATAATGTCAGAGAAACAGAAAGGGCTTGTAGATGCCATTGAAACTCTACTGCCAGATTTGAGCACAGGTTCTGTGTCCAACACTTGTATGGAAACTTTAGGGCTTCATTTAAGGCATTAGTCCTGAAAAACTTGTTGTGGAGAGCAGCCAGGTCAACTAGAGTTGTTGACTTTAATGCTGTAATGAAAGAATTGCAAGGAAGAGGCAAAGAAGCTTTTGAATGGTTGGCTAAAAAGCCAGCAAATCAGTGGTCAAGGTCACACTATAGTTGCCACTCAAAGTGTGATATGCAGCTGAATAACATGTCTGAGTATTTTAACTCACTCATTCTGAGAGCAAGGAGTAAACCTATTCTTTCTATGTTGGAAACAATAAGACTTATATTGATGAAGAGGACCTACATGAGAAGGGATCAAATGAGAAAACACTTGCATGGGAACTTGTGCCCAAAAATCATGAAGTTGTTGGAGGAATTGAAAAAGAAGTCTATGGGTTTTATATGTCACTGGAATGGGGAAGACCAGTTTGAAGTGGATGGAAGCTCAGGGAGATTCAGAGTTCATATGGGGGAGAAGTCATGCACATGTAGGAAGTGTGACCTCACAGGTATCCCTTGTGAGCATGCAATAAGTGGTATGTTCTTGTTGGGTACTCAATCAGGGGATTATGTTGTTGACTGGTACCACAAAGACACATTTTTGAAGGCTTATTCTGAGATGTTAGGCACTTTTCAACCTCCTGAATATTGGCCAAATGTAGAAGCATTACCACTGCAACCACCAACTATTGGCAGACTACCTGGAAGGCAAAAAAAAAAATGCTAGAAAAAAACAGCCACATGAAGAGGCTTTGGCAGTAAAATCCAAGAAACAAGTTCAAGTAAGGCTGAGTAGAAAAGGGAGATTAATGAGATGTTCTCTCTGCAAGAAAGACACCCACAACATCAGATGTTGTCCTTTAAAAACTGACAAGAGTGCACCAACTAAAGGACATCCTATACCACCCTCTAATGAAGACAATTTTGTGTTCAAGGTAATTGAAATTGTTAAAAAATTATGTGTTTTATTATAAATATTATTTTCTTCTGAATTACATTGTTTTTTATGAAGAGAAAGAAGAGGAAAACAGCTCAGAGAGAGAGTGAAAGTGAAGTACCAGCCCCTATTGAGGACCTCAATGTGGTTAAGGTAATGATCTTTGTTATACATAGTAATTGGTGTGGTTAGTGTATTTTCTAATTAAAAAATTGCATATATTATACAATTTTTTTTTTGAAGTGGAAAAAGACCAAAACAAGTGGCAAAGTGTGTGAAGTGTCAGCCCCTATTGAGGATATTACTGTGAGGAAGGTAATTTTATTTGTTAGTTGAACAATTTTTATTATTGGTCTATTTTATTCATTCAAGAAGTTTGTTTTCTAACTTGAGATTGCATAAATTGTCTGTGAAGGGGAAAATGAAAGAAACTGTGAGAGCAAGTGATGTTTTACAAACACAGGAATCTGTTGCAATGACACATACAAGGCTCACCAGAAGTCAAGTCCTATCTGAGCATCACGAGAAAGGCAAATCCTCAAGACTCACAAGAAGCCAGTCAGTTGGGCCTAGTGGAGTTGCAACAAAACCTTCAAGACTCACAAGGACCCAAACTGCATCTGCATCTACACCTACTAGGAGAAAAGAAAGTCAGATTACAAAGGACAGGCATATTTCTGTTGCAACTTCACCCACAAAAGCCAGAAAGAGCCAAACTCAATCTGCACCTGCACCTACACCTACAAAAGCCACAAAGAGCCAAACTCAATCTGTACCTGCACCTACACCTACAAAAGTCACAAAGAGCCAAACTCAATCTGCACTTGCACCTACACCTACAAAGAGAAAAGAGAGTCAGACCACAGGGCAAAGTTCTGTTGCACCTTCACCCACAAGACTTACAAGAAGCCAAACTCAATCTGCACCTGCAACTACACCTACAAGGTTAACAAGAAGTCAGTCCAAAGGTCTTACACCTACCAAGGAATTGGGGCCAAAAAGGACCCAAAAAGTTGTGAACAAGAGCAAGACATTGGGACTGAAGAGGAAACTAGAGGTATTAATAATAGTCATTTTCTTGTAATTTTTTCCCTATGTGTTTCAATCTGTTGAAATGATATCATTTTATTATTCTATTCATAGGTGTCTAGGAAACATAATCCATTAACTCAAGGTGCAAGCTTTTCAACAACAAAAGGACCTGTTGTGAACAAGCAGGTGGTGCAATCTCAGCCTGAGCCAGAGATATTGGGAACATATTGGGTTACTACTGGTGGGAGCATAGTGGATAAGTAGGTCTTAGTTCTTTTGATAGATGCTGTGGATTTTGGAACTGTAATGGTTGTGGTTGGTTTTTGGATATGGTTCATAAGTTTGTTGAACTCAGATAATGGGTGTTAGCTTTTGGATTTAATGGTTGGTTTTGAATATATTATGGTTAGTTTTTGGATCTATTTTGGTTATTGACTTGGTTGTTGGCATTGTAAAAACCTGTTGGGAATATTGTTGGAATGGAAGGATTATGTCTATTACACAATGTGCAAATTCTATTTTGTGTTATGCCATTGTAAAAACCTTTTGGTCATCTATTGTTTTCTTATTTCTGTTATACACAACCATTCACACATCATGTAAAAACATGTTACTAAATTTCTAAAGAAAGTCATCTACAAACAACTGATGCAAAATGACATCAACAGATACAAAAAGACATCAACACTGTATATGTTTGAACAACCAAAATGGTGTTTGATTACAACCAAAAGAGTTTGAACAACACACATTACAAAACCACAAATACAAAAGACATCAATACTACCTAATACAAAAGAGAACCACAAACATAAAAGCTTAGAAAACACTACATCATGCAATATATGATCACCCAAGATATCAGAATTACAATCCACAGCCAACGCTCACGAGCACTTTTCCTCTTCAAACACAATTCATGATTGGCCTTTTCTTCCATGACATTTTCAATACAAGCTCCAGCCACTTTCAAATCTGATTGAAGTTTCTTCACATCAGATTGAAGTTTTCTTCACATCAGCTTCCAACCTCATAACATCTACTTCAAGAATTTGAGCTTCATTCTCAAATCTGTTGGCACGTTTCAAAAGGCCGGGAATGATTTCACGAGCCCTAGGGCACAAAGGTGGTTCAATCCACGAAAAAAATACACAACCACCATCATCCTACAATATTCAGATAAAGAAACATATTAATTTAAAGAAATATAGGGTTTATTGAATTCGCCCAATTTTTGGAATTAGGGTTCACTGAATTTGCCCAAAATTCATAAATTAGGGTTAATCTAATTAATCACTTACCCGATTTTTTGTGCAAGTAATGTATCTTCTTCCTGGATTTTGAACACTCCACGATGTTTTCGTCACAACATTCATCCCACAATTGCAGAGTTGAGCCATTGCCTCTGTTTGTCTCCAAGCTATTTACCCGCCGGTGAAGAAGAGAAAGAAAGAAGGGTGGAAATCCAAATTCGCGCCTTATTGTTTTATAAATCTGCTAAGACGCTGAAATGACAAATTTGTCCTTCAAATGTAATGCACAAAGTCAGATTTACCCTCAAATATGGAGCGTGCGACTTGCACGCTCGCTTTTCCGGTGGAAAACGAGCGGAAAATGGCCGTAGGTTGCGATACAGGCTAAGCCGTGTATTAAAGGTTGCAATATAGTACAAAATATTCTTTAGGTTGCAAAATCCAAATTCGCGCATAGTACATGTTGCATAAAATTATTTACCCTAAAAAGTATATTAAATATTCTATATTATTCTTGAAAAATGTTTGAAGCCACCTAAATTTTTTCTAAACTATTTGTAAAGAAAACATGTCTAAAAATATTTAAGTTTAACCTCCATATATATATATATAATCTTTGTCCAACTAATATTTAAGTTTAACCTCCATATATATATATATATATGTATATATATACATATATATATATATATATATATATATATATATATAATATATATCCTCCATATATAATCTTTGTCCAACTAATATTTAAAATATCTAAAATATTATAGAAATTAATAATATTAATAAAATTTGAAAAAACTCCACTATAAATTTTAGGTTAATATCCAATTCATAATATAAATGTGCTCTAATCCTCTGAGCTACAGGCCCCACCCCGTCTCCACTGGATCTGTTCGATCCCGACTACAAGCAAGGTAAGGGCGAAGTGTTTAGTAAAGAAAAATGGCCATAATGCAATCAGTTTTGTTAAATCTCCACGAAAATATGGTAAAACATAATGAGACGATCAACTTTGAATGAGAATAAAATAAAATCAATATGAAATTCACAGGAAATGAAAATAATTAATAATTTGAATAGTACACGGATCTAAAAAATAATACTCCCGGGGATTCTAAAATTCAAACTCATACTATCATCATCTTCTGGAAATTGAATAATATATTTTAGGCAAGATTTTTAAAAAATCTAAGAAATGTTTTCTTTATATAATTGTTTAGAAATAATTTAGGCGACTTCACATCTTTCAGTAATAATATATAAAATTTTAGATATTTTGCATACGTTATTCAATATCTTAGGTGTTTTTAACATTCTAAACATACATATTTTAGGTTTTTTTATGACTTCATTTCGCTTCGCTTCTAAAGGAACTGAAACTTGCGCTGAAGATTTGGCCGGCGTTATACAAGAAAATTTTATATTGTTTACAACTGATATACGATAAATTATGTCACATTATAACTCGATATCTTAATTATTTATTAGTTAATATTGTTTACCATCATATTAAGCTTATAATTATTAGTTAATATTGTTTATTATCATTTTTAGTTTATAGTTATTATTTAGAATTATTTACTTGTGCATCGCACACGGGCTAACACTAGTAAATAAATAAATTGATTGGGTGAAAATTTATTTTCAATCAATCATCCTCTATCCTAGACATGGTCAAGGGCAGCCTGGCCCGCCGACCCGGACCCGGCCCGGTCAAACTCGTTAACCACGAGTCTGGGACCGGACCAGATCAGACCGAATTTCAGACGAGCCGTTTCAAAATCATCAATTTCATGACCCGCTCGGGCCGGGTCGGGTCAATGGCCAGCTTCTTCTATATTTTTTTTTTTAAAAAAATGACGGACCCAGCTCAGACTCAGACCCGGCCCGGTCAACCAAGCAACTGACCCGGTACGAGTATAGGTCTGTGCCGAGTCAGTGTTTTGGAGCGCGTTTTGGCCATGCCTACTCTAACCCACCCATAAGCCATAACCCATTTTCCTCTAGTCAAGATTAACATTTGCATCTGCGCCTCGCAGTTCCACCCTAACCTCGGCGACTTTACACTTCCGGTAAATCAATCGGATTTCTCTCTCTCTCTCTCTCTCTCTCTCTCTCGCTCTTTATGTTTATTTTTTTATTTTTATTTTTTGTGTCTGCCTCCCTGCTTCGAGATTTAATATTGATTTCTCCAAATCTGGGGTTCAATTTCATGTTCTCATCGCCGGTGCTCATTTTCTGCAGTTTGATTGATCTAATCTGCCGGACTTTTTTGTTGTCTGTTTCTATTAATCTGTTGGTTTGATTTTTGTGCAGGTTTATTCGCTTGATAATTCAATTCCTATACTATGTGAGTATGAATTTACTAATTCATTATTCTCGTTCGGTATGGATGTGACCCATCTCTTGTGAGCGTTAATTTATGTTGGCTTCGTTCTTATTTATTCATGTATATGCTCAGTAGCTAGTTTTTCCTTGAGTTATACTTACTGCTAGTTATTGGGAATGTGGCAAACCCGGTATGCCGAGCCGAGCATTAATCGTCTTTGCAGAGGCTTTGTCAGATCTGATGGAATTTTAAATTTTGTGCCTTAATCATGAACAAGTTTTGTAAATTTTGATCATTGTGTTCTTGGGAAAGTAGTTAGCACTTGGGCAGATTGAGGCTTTCTCGTGACTTGACAACAAATAATCGTGGGATATAGCTGTGTAACTGGACTTGTTGTTTGTGTCGTTTAGGGCTGATTACGAGCCTGTAGATCCGAAGGCAGAACTTGAAGACCGTTGCAAGGCACCATGTACACGGCCACTGAAAGAATATCAGGTGACATATTAATCGGTTAATATTGATTGCTGTATTGATGTTTAGTTTTTTTTTTCTATATTTTTATCTGTTTCTAATGGCACTTTCCTCACTTATAAAATATAATCTGAATCAACTTTTATTATACGATTCCCACTTATCATGGTTGTGTAATTTTATGTGGTTTGTGAGGTCTCTGCCTATCTATTTGGCTGCACCTCTTTGACTTGTCAATGTTCTTAAAGTTGTTCTTAAAGTTTCTCATCCTGCAAACGATACCAAGTGCACATGGCTGTTTCTTGTGTTTTTTTCTCTGTGCACCGGCTATTTAGTGAGTGTTTTTCCTAAAGACATGTGGACAGTGTCTGCTTAACTATATGAAAATTACGGACAAGCAGTGAAATAAATAATTGCACCACTTAACATAGGTTACATTTAGTATCAGTTACTTTCTCTGATATATATACAAATGTGCGGTTGGTCACAGATAGCCAAATTCTCTTCGATTCTCGGGCTTATGAATTTTTTATTTGTCTTCTTAAGGAATCTTTGCTTTACTTCTTAGTTGTTCGAAGTTTGAGTCAGCAATAGTAGAAGACTTCCTAGGATTTGCATCCTATTATGATATACACTGAACTAAGTTGTTTGAGAATGAAGGCGTCAATCGAAACCCGAGGATTCAACTTCAGCGTTTCTTGTTTGATGTCCAAACTACTGTAGAAGACTTCCTAGGATTTGCATCCTATTGTGATATACACTGAACTAAGTTGTTTGAGAATGAAGGAGTCAATCGAAACCCGAAGGATTCAACTTCAGTGTTTCATGTTTGATATCCAAGCTACTGTAGAAACCACATATTAATGTTGAAACAGAATTGGAAGAGGCTTTTTGTTTGGGATAAAAAATATTAAAATACTAAATAACTTATGCATATTACAATTATTGCACTTGTAATTCACTGCCCTTCATTTGAACAAAAATTTTCTCCTTAACCATTGTGGTGTATCGTAAACTGATATTTGATAAATGACAACAGAGTATCTCATAGTTCTCCTCATGAATCTTTTCCCCTACGTCTTTTTGTTTGTGTTTCTCCTATTCTGTAGCCTTTTGTCTCTACATGCAATGAGTTGTGTGCTTATCAATGATATTTTCACATGGTACTCATTTTTGAAAAAGAGCCCCGTCAAGGTCTGTCCATTATTTTTTTTTTTTAATTTTTATTTTTTATTTTTCTTTCCGGAATATTGTAACAAAAAAGAACAATGATCCTGGATCAGGCTTACTTGCTTGTTGGTTGCTCTTTCATCAAGTTATTACTTACTACTAGGCAATAGCCATTAGCCAAACATTATATTGTAATCTGCTGGTTGTGGAATCTGTTTTTATATGTTCATATTTAACAGAATTTTTATGCCTTCTGTTTGTTCTCAAAACCTGCTCCACAATGGAATCTGTTTACTTCTGTTTGCATAATGGTTCGTCCTGTGCTCAACTTCAGCGTATTCTTTCATGTTCTTGCTTTGGTGCATGCTAGCATTTCACACAGAATGTGGCATGCATTTTTCATTATGTAATAAAAAATGGAAGTACTCAATTTCAACATGTAACTCAAGTTCACTTGACACGTGTATTTGTGGTCTTATCCTGGTGATAGGCATGCTTTAAAAGAATTGAAGGTGATGAATCTGGGCACAAGCACTGTACGGGTCAATACTTTGACTACTGGCGTTGTGTGGACAAATGCGTAGGCTTCGATTTCCCGTTTACATCTTTCTTGTTTTTTTCTTATTTGTGTAGTCTAGAATAATTTCTAACTCTGCTGATTACGCTGGAATTGTTATGTTACAGGTCGCTACTAAGCTATTTTCGCAGCTTAAGTGACTGGACCATCTACTTCACTGCTGTTTTTGGAGCCAATGAGCCCTCTTAAGTGTTGAAAAAAGCATAGCAATTGATGTTGTTGCGTTTTTTTTTTTTATTCAAACTGATAATGGCAGTGCACAAGCCCTTAGTCCACATGGCATTTGGGGATTTGGAGATTTGTGGGATCAATAAAATAAGTGCGGGAATTATGTTTGCCTTTTGTTTTATTATAAACATTACTATATTTTGTTGGATTTTTAATGGTTATAAGCAGGAACGCTTCAAGCATCGGTTGTTTTCATTTTAAAACTAATAAGTGATTGACAAAATATATTGAGTTAGAGGCTATAGAACCACATTGTTTATTGACATAGTTTTTGTAGCTTGATTTGGTAGGCTTATTCGGAATATATAATAATGGGGACAATTTCTTTTAAACCCTGAAGACACATTAAAGTTTTTCACTCCTCCCCACTAGCTAACAATTTAACTTTTTCACTCAAAAAAAACTAAGGTTACGCGAATTGCATAATTGTGGCATATCAGTTGCACAATTGTCACATATTCACTTTGAAAAGTGCGAAGGCTTGTGCGAATGTCTTTACATTTTTAGCTTCTCACAATGTCGTTGGCACAACTGTCGCATAATTATCATATAAATGTCTTTCGCATTTTTTGGGGTAAAAAATTAACTTATATTTCAATGGTATAAAAACTTATTTATATCCAACGGTGTGAAAAAACTTGTCCAGTTTCGTAAACGCGGTATAAATAACTATTTTCATTTATATTATTCTATAGAAAGCATCACTTCTTGCACAAAAAGACATAAATCTGTTGCTTTAAGATTTGTTATAATTGTTAGGTGATTTTATCGACAGTTGTATTTTTTGGTGGGTACTCCTTCTACTCTGGACGTAGTGTAAATCAATTGGACGCTCGAGTGACACAATTTCGACAACCGTGTGGCTTTATCGGACCACAAAGTGAGTAAGCTCATGGACTCTCGGGATAGCGACCCGACTCTTCTTATCTATCGGGCATATTGATGGACACACGGTGATTTATCATTGTGTCGAGTACACATTTTTTTTTCTTTGTTTTCTTTTCTTTTTGTTTTTGTTATGTGTCTCTGTGTTTTTCTTTTTAGTCTTTTTTTTTTTTTGTTGCATCCATTGAATGAGTTGTGTGATTCATTGTTCTTTACTTGCACTTTTTGCTGTAAGCAATGAAGGCATTGCTTTGTTTAAATTGTTGGAGAGGATTTTTGTTGATTATGCATGCTTATATGGTGGACCGTCTAGTTTCGTTTCATATAGGTATTTATTTAGTTGTTTTATTGTGTGTTGGATAAATTTTTATTATATTTTTGTGTGTTTGTGTCAAACTCTCCCATCTAGAGCTTAATGTTTAGTCGAAATGGCTAGTTGTGAGTTGAGTATGTCGAATGGTTTCATTTTTTAACTATTAATGTCTAAATACATAGCAAAATGGATGAATCAAAAAAGTCAAAACGACATTTATTTAAAAAAGGAGGGAGTATGTCTTATGTTCGTTGATAGACACCTACATTGAATTCACGAAATTGTTTTGTCTTGAAATATTCTTCCTATTGTTTGACTAAAAGGAAGGGGTATAGATATTAGATTGAAGAAATTGGTTTTGCCATTGAGAACGGCAATGTCACCTTCTTCTTCTTCTTCGAAGCCCCCTTTTCTCACCAAGCTTCCTACAGGCAATGCGAAACTTGAATCCAACCCCAAGCCTGGGCTGACCACCGTCCCGCCGAATTCGGCGTCCTATTCATCCGCCGCTCCCCTCCCGCCGCCGGAGAAGAGGACACGAGACCAGCCCAATTACTCCAACTGCCACTGCTGTGGCCACCGGATCAACAGCACAAACCCTAGGGACCGCCTGCAACCCCTGAATAGCGTCTGGCGCATCGTCCTTCTCTGCAGAAAGTGCCGCAGGAATGTTCACTCCGGCCAAACGTGCCCTTATTGTTTCCGAGAAACAGGGAATTCGGGTGAGTTTTTCACATGTAGTGCTTGTGAGCGCATAATTCATGGCGATTGTGTTAATAATTACGGTAATTGCGCGCCTTGGTGTTATTCGGGCGGGGGTTTGGAGGGGTTTAGTGTTTGCATCGATTGCTGGGTTCCAGAGTTGCTTAAGAACTCGGTTATGGTTTGTAGGAGGAGTGAGAATAGCGGAAGGTTAAAAGAGAATGGAAAAGAACATGAGACGGAGAAGAAGGTGCCGCCAAGCAGGGCCAAGGTTGGGAAGAAGAATGTGGAAGATTCGGAAAGCCTGGAGACCAACAATTTGAGTTGTGGTGGTACGTTAGAAGTTGTGGATGATGCCAAACTTGCAATTCAATTGCACAGAGCCATTAACAGTTCACCGAGAAATTTGAGGGGTGGGGATTTGGCTAAAAACTCGAGTGATTTAGATGTTTCTAGTATCGTGAATTGGAGTGGGGTATCCTATAAGAGATCCTGTCTGGGTAAAAACAACATTGAAGATCAGGAAATTGGAAGATGTGCTAATATTGCACAGAATGAAAGGATGACTTGGCTTGGGAACATTGATTGTTGTTTTGATTCGGCTGAGTTAAGTCGAGGACTGAAATGTTACAAGCGAGATAAAACTAGGAAAATATGGAATTTAATCGAAAACAATGCCATGGCGTCTGAAGCTATATCTAGCCAGCATGATATTGACATATTGGAGGCTTCAATATCTGGCGATGCTGATCGAAATAGAGTTGACAGATATGAGAAGGAGCTCTTAAGTTACAGGCGCTGTGGGTCTAAACGAAAGCTTTTTCAAGAAAGTGGTACTGGTGTTTCTGGAGAAAGCAACTCTCAGGATAACCATGAAGTGAACTTCAAACCCGAGTTTTCCCAAATGGATGATGGAGAGTTTAGATTAGGTTGTCAAATCAAGAGTGATGATACTGAGGTGATTTTGCCAAATCAGTGTTGCATTGTGGATGGGGACCGTTATCTTCTGAAGTATGGTAAGAGAGGTAGAGGTACCAAATCAGAGTCAAGTTTCCAGCATTTTAGTAACCTTCTGAGTCAGAATCAGACCTCTCAAAGTAATTTGAATAAAATGGAGGCTGGTTTGGATAAAGACTGTGTTCATGACAGCATCAATAATTGAAGAGAGCTACAGAAAATTGGCCTCAAGCTTTCTGCACTATGACTATTTTGAGTGAAAATCAATCCTCTTTGCGTGATTTAAATAACTCTGCGGTGAACGTTGATGGCACATTAAGTTTGCAACTTAGGAATGTTAATCAGGAATCTGATCGCTAGTATCGTAAGTACATTAAGAGGGTTGAAGGCACCATGACTGGCTCGATTTATGTAGCTATGTTACATCCTGGCGTTTTCCGTAAAGAAATTGAGGCCTCTTCTGATGGATTGACATTTTACTCCAAACTGTTACATTTGACTCCTTTACTGTTGCTCTGCCTTAGTCAACAGGTAAGGCAACTTCTTAAAATTAATATACTTTTTGGAGTGTTTCAATTTTGAGTATGCAGATTGCGGTGATTATTTTGTTGTCTTTCTTGTGATTATTGTGAACATTTGCTACTTCTGCATGAACCTGAAATTTTTATATGAACATTTCTGATAATAAAGCTCATGTGGGAGCTCCATGCAGCGTTATTCTACCTATCCTTTTGTATTTGTGTGTGTGTGTGTGTTTGTTTACGCTTCTTAAGGCATACATGATTGATTGGTTACCGCCTTACTATGGCAGATGGGTATTGTATTGCAGACACTCTAAATTTCTAGGATGAACATTAGTTTTAATTTTAGTTTTCTCGAGACTTACCAGGTGTAACAGACTGCTCATAGCTTTCGATAGGAAGAGTCTTAGGTAGGCTGGTTTTTTCTGTTGTCCTTTTTTCTTGATTTTTTTGATGTTGTGATTCTAGAATATGAATTTTTGGTTATTCTTTGTGGGGGTTGGATCGAGCCTCTCTAGGTTGGAGTTGTCCCTCGGTGCCTTCTCGTAACTTATTGTACCTATCCCTAACTAAGACTAGGTGGGGAATCATTTTTCCCGATCTACCATAAATACAATGGCATCTCATTTTTCACATCATCGAGCTGTTGTTTTATTAGGGGAAGCTTATAACATTTTTTGGTACAGCAAGTACTTGTTATGGTTATCCTGAAAGAGGGCAAATGTAAACTAACTGAAGGAAGATAATGGATGTTGCCTGTTTTCAAAACGTGCTCATGTTTATACTTGATTTTGTTATATCAGAAAAGGCTATTATTCTATCAAATAATTCCATTTGTAAAAATGAGTTGGCATAGAGTGTATATAATTAATGAATAATAGAACAGGAAAGAAGTTAACATCCCTTGTTTGAACCACATGGTGAGGTAGTGTTGTATTTTAAAAGGAACTTTATATATAAATTTTTTTGTAATAAAATAAAACACATATGTAACCTTGTGGGTCCAAAACCTCATATCTTCAATGATAAAAGTTAAGTTTGGACTACACTATTTAAATTATACTGCTAACACTTTGGGATATGATGGTACCTGTGTACCTGGCTGATCCATCTCTGATTATGGCATTTTGGTATTAGCGAGTTGTTCACCGCCATATTGTTTTAGTCCGGAATTTTGTGCTTAGTTCAACCATAAGTTGGCATATATGCTGCAGACATATGTTTGTTTATGTGTATGTTTTATTTGTGAAGGTATTTAGTTATTATCTAGTTTCCATTCAACTTGATGAATTGATTAAAGCAATATATTCGTACCAATCAGTGACATGCACAAAATAAAAACAGTGTTTTAATTTTGAGTGGAAGTAGTACACGTGTTCAACTATTTGTCATGTGTTGGCTATACTTATTCACAATTTGTTGAGGCTCTTGTTTGGCCAAGATTTTAGGTGGACATGGATAACTTTGTTTAGCCGCTTCAAGTCCCTGTATATGGTTGCACAAATTGAGCATAATTTAATGAATTTCGCTCATACTAATGATTTATGCTTACACCCAGTGGTTTTGGTCTATGCATATGTGCGTATGATGAAATTGATCCTGACATCACCTTTATTTATTTATTTTTTTTTTTTTTTTTTTTTTTTTTTTTT